GGGAGACATAGAGAAGGTGAGAGAACAAGTAAGTCTCCAACCTCGCGGCTGGCCTTACGCTACGTTCATCCGTATGATGAGCAAAATCGAATGAATCTTATGCTAGAATATGGAAATATACACTGCCACACTTGTAAATTCAGTCCACCAAACCACGGTAAAAAAAGATCCCGTTCATAAAATCGCGCCAACAGCAGTCTTTCGCCCGAGTGTTCCACACGATTGTTGCACAATCGCACCGCCCAAACTTCAACCTCGGCCCAAATAGTCGCCGCCAGACTCGAAAGGGCACTCGATTGTGTCCTCGTGGCCTGCGTCGGTTCGTGGGTCTGACGGTCGGCGCTAGTTTGGGCCCAGGCCTGCCACCCAAAGTCCCTAACCTGGAGACCGGGTCTCGCTCCAGTGTCACGGGAGACCCGACTTTTCCTTTAGTAGTATGTAGAAGAAGATTGAGAGAAAAATTCATAAAAGCACACGGAACATGTGAGTAGAAAATACGTCAATTCTGAGAGTGCACAAAAGCGCACACACTTGTACAAACTCGTATTTGAATCTTCAAATAGCATCTGATACGTCCAAAACTTCATTTTTTCCTTTTAATTTGAGCCATTCTTCAATTTATGTGACCATTCTTCAATTTATGTGTGTCATCCTTGCGTAGGGGTCATGCCAATCTTCTCTATATCATCCAATGACCTAGCTCAGTTGGTTAGGCATGCAAGTGACATTCAGAAGGTTATGGGTTTGAGCTTCATAACCACCTGTGGTGCACTTTGTGCCAACCAGAGGTGACTATCCGCTTGATACCTCTGGTCAGTATTAGTAAGTTCCTTGGCCAACACGGGTGTGAGTGCGAGTGTGAGTGGGTTGCGTGTGGTGTGTGGGAGAGTGTTGGCCGTAGACACTACTGTTATTTGGCTGGGGGTGGGGGAGTATGAAAGGGAGGCGCAACTACAAACAAAATGCTCGGTCTTTGCATTAACCGGACCCCCACCGACGCCCCACCCCATGACCACCACGGTTGGGGCGGGGGACAACATGCATCCCCTCTGATGGCTAGAGGGAGACAACAAAGCTATGTTCGCAGAGCCTTTTATAAGCCTTATGAATAGTGGTAGGTAGGTAGTGAAGGTGAATTGAAAGAATTTGAAAGATGATGAAAAATTTGAGAGAAGAATATAGTGTAGTTTAAATACTAATAAAAAAATAAAAAATAAAAAACAATCTTCTTTGTATCGTCCCAATTTTAACGGATGTTCCAAAGAACTCATAGGAAACTTCGAAGTACGGTCAAAGAGTGTTTTTTCTTCTCCATCTTAAACCACCAGTACCTACCGGTTGTTGAGGCCCGATCCTTATTTATGCCTGCGCACCAAGGGCTGCCGAACCTGGAGGGGAAGAGAACGAATTTGGGATGTCTTGTAGAGTGACACCGGTACCGCCGTTGTTTTCACTCGTGCAGCAACCCGGGCATGGCCACAAACTCAGTGGAGAGAGCAATCCTTGGGGAAAAAATTAAAAAGAAAGAGCACAACCGTGAAATGACAACTTTCAATTATTTAATTCCCGTCTCTCACGGGAAGTTCCCGTCAGAAACGCCTAAGACTGTTCGTAAAAAAAAAAAAAAAAAAAAAGGACATATGGACGTTGATTCAACACTCTCGAAATGTGGAAAATGATATTGGATTGTGCACTAAAACATGGACACATACATTGGCATATATCCATCTTTGGTGCAAGTGGAGTGTCCTACTTTCCTTCGCTGGTAGAACTTCAATGCTCCCCGTTTCTCACTGGGAGGCAGATTAAATGCAACCAAGATTTTTTTTTTTTTTTTTTTTTTTTTCGTAAGGAGGAAAAAAAMAAAACGCAAAAAATGTCAAGCCACATTACTCATAATATAGAATGCATATTGCCCTAATCAAGTCCCGATACGATTGCAAAAATCATCGCATGAAAACGTCATGAAAACGGTCGTTTTCTTTTCTCTTCATATATTTTCACGTTTTGCATAAGCCAAGGCATTCTTCTCGGTATGTATCGTTTCAGGAATAGGGGACCATACATTCGAATCCAAAAGTCACGGGAGCACTGTTTCCTCCGTGATGATGAGGGTTGCAGGTAACAAAAGGACACCGTGCTCTCATGACTTATCCTTTCGAATGTATGGTCCCCCATTCAAGGACCAATACATCTCGAAAAAATGTCTGTGATCTGGAATGTTCGTGTTTTTTTTTGTTTTTTTGGAGCCTGTATTATAGTTGCAGCTGGAGCGTTCCAGCATGTGGAAACATGCACAGCGAAAACAAGAGTACACCGATTTCTCGTCCTTGGGCCCAACAACTTCTTCACCAATTCTAGTGTCGAGCCTTTCCCGAACCCCAGAAATTGTGGCGCGTTAACGGCCGCGACTTTTTTTTTTGGCTGGGCCAGGTACTGTTGGTTTAATTTGGAGCATCTCTCCATTAGGAAAACTGTTCAAATGCCCCTAAAAGTTGGGGTATTTCGTCCGATACCCCTAAAGGCATGTGTATGGCAAATGCCCCGATGACAATCGTGATACTTTGCAAAATACCCCACTTGCCAATTGGACCCACCATCTTGTCCATAAATACCTATCCGGACCTGTGCAAATTGTCCATATACCTTGGCCTTTTTGGCCGTTGGACCCCTGTCGGAAAATCTTTAGTCCTTTATTGTCATCCATCTCAATTTCAACACCTTTCCCGTATTTTTCATCTCCGTCTCTACATGTCCATCGCTACACCTTTATCTCATAACGAATATATAAAGCCCATCTTTCCGATC